ACACACACACACACACACACACACACACACACACACACACACACACAGCTTTAATCAACCATCTGTGCCTTCCCAAGGGACCCAGTAGAGACAAAAGTATCTTAGGAAAGGGGAAGCTCAGGAATAGTACGTTCTTCTGCAAGAACCACTGCATGGGTTGGTACTCAGTATTATAGTAATTCTATCTCCTGGCCCTGCTGGAAGAGAACATTTCATCACCCAATGTGCTTTTTGTAAGCTGCGCACAGTTACATTAAGCAGGGGTTTGCCAAGTGAGAATCCAGAATATATTGCAATGCTTTTACAGAAAATAAAATGAGTGCCCAGAAATGTGACTATTGGGGCACTCAGGCCAGACTAAGCAGTTTTCTCCTAATGTCATAAGGGTGCTCCATCACTTCGCTAATGTCTCTAAAGTGGCTTGAACTATTCATGGAAAACTGCTACATAAATATAGGTCATGGTGATGGTTGTGATTTCTCAGATTTGTTAACAGGCAACTTGAAACCATTTAGGAGAGGGGGCTTTTAAGAACTGCCTTTTATAAGTTCTGTCTTTTATAAGCTGTCTTTTTTTTCTTCTTGAGGAAAATGAAATGCTCATCTCAAGTAAGTTGGAATACGAGGAGCGGCCCCTCTGGTTTTGAAATATGTCTGGCCAAAAGTGTATAGTGTTTGGGGATATGCCTTTTTGTTCATGTTTTTACAGTTTTCATTTTAATTATGAACTTAACAATCATCAACAGACAGAAAAACATTTCAATAGACAAGAACAAAAAATAAAGAACTGTATATGAAACCATCACCTTCTGTTGAAATGTGTATTTTGAGTTATTGTGAATTTGTAAAGTAGACTCAAAATCTTTGAATTGTTTCTTCTGGAACATTCAGTTTTGCTTCATGTACATTAGGTGTCAGGGGTTCAGGCTTGAAGTGACACTTCATCTGTTTTTCCTCTTTACAACCTTCTTTTCTTCCCCTTCCAGATGGTTCAGATGTTTTCACGTTGCATCCTGTGCTCTAAGGAGGAAGTCGATTTGGATGAGCTGTTGGCTGCCAGGCTGGTGACGTTTCTGATGGACAACCACCAGGAGATCTTGCAGGCTCCTTCTTCCTTGCAGAGTGCGATAGAGGACCGAGTAGCCCATCTACGAAGGGTCCAGGTAAAACTAATGAATCATGGTAACAGCTAACATTGATGTGACCCTTTAAGGTTTATCAAATGCTTTATATGTTATTTTGTTTGATCCTCACAATGGCCCTTTGAGACAGATGCTATTATTATCTTAATTTTGCAGATGAGGAAATTGAGGCAGAAAGATCACTTGCCAAAGGTTCCATAGTTAATAAGCATGTGAGGGAGGATTTGACAAGTCTTACTGATTCTAATTCCAGCAGTCTAATAATAATAGCTAGCATTTTTATATGACACCTACTATGTGCCAAACAACCCTAGGAAAGAGGTGCTATTATTATCAATATTTTGCTGCTGAGGAAACTGAGGCAAAGAAAAAATGACTTGCTCAAGATTACACAATTTGTAAGCATCTGAGGTCACATTAGAACTCAGGACTTTCTGACTGCAGGCCTACTACTCTATCCATGACACTCCATAGCTGCCACTGTATATATCCATTATACTATAGATTTGGGAGTCATCCTTGTAAAGTGAGATTTCAGGTGGTGGGACCTGATGAAATCACTAAGAAAGAATATAGAGCTAATTGAAGAGGGACAAAGTTCTGAGGAACACTTACTGTAAGAGGGCATGAGAGGATAATTATCTAGCAAAGGATACTGAGAAAGAGCAATTAATCAATAAGTACTTAATCTGTACCTACTATGTGCCAGGTGCTGGGAATAAACAATAAAAGTCTAGTGAAGTCCAGTCATTTTGGAGGATTTTTTATTCTCCGGTGGGAAGAGAGGGCAGCATTTGAAAGTTTGAAAGATGGGTTTGTTTTAAGGCAAAGAAAATGTCGGAGAGATAGAAAGAGAACTAGGAGAAGGAAGTGTCACAGACGCTAAGGTACAGGAGCTGCTTAGGAGAGAGAGTGGTATCAAAAATTGAAAAATGGTCAAAGAGGATAAGGATTGAGAACAGGCCTTTGGATATAACAAGTAAGGAGTTATTGGTAACTCTGAAAGAGTGGCTTGAGTTGAATGATGGGCTTGGAAGCCAGACTGCAAGAAATAAGTGGGTGGTGGGGTAGTGAAGACAATAGTGTGAATGACTCTTTTGATGAGTTTGGCAGTGAAAATTAGGAATGGGAAATAGGATGGTAGTTTAATGGGACAACAACATCCAGTCAAGGTTTTTAAAAGATGGGGCAGATCTGAGCTTTTTTGTAGTAATCAGAGAAATCTCCATTAGATTAATTTGGAGATGATTGATGACAAGCTCCTGGAGCAAATGAGAAAGGAATGAAGCTCTAGATAGTGGTATAAGGGTTGGTCTTGCAAAGGAGAGAGACCAACTATTACTCAGGCAGTGCAATAAAGGAAGAGAGGATAGGGGAAGAGGTAGTGGGTTTTTGAGGAGAAAAAGGATCTCATGACTGATGGTCTTCTATCTTCTCATTAAAGTAGGAGGCAAGGATATCTACTAAAAGGATGGAAAAGGCTTTGGGAGTTTGAAAAGAGAGGATTTGGTCCTTGGCAAAGGTAATCGAAGAAGAGTAAAAGTTATGCTTTGCATCAGGGAGCATCTAGTTGATCTTAGATAATATACATTTGCAGTGGATCTGAGCATGGTCCTTTGGGGGCTGTTCAGTAGCTCAGGGGGAAGAGCATAGAAGGGCCATGTTTAGGGTGACCCAAACTTGAGGATTAGCAGGGCATAAAGAGTACTCAGTGAGGCCCAGGGGTCAAGGGTAGAAGGCAGTGTATAGCTGAGCTGGTCAACCATAGGATCAAGATTGCAAAGAGAAGAAGTGAGGCCAAAGCAATAGTGATAGAAAGGAAGAAGAACAGATGTTTAATTATTAAAAGAACAAGAAGGGATAGAGGGCTGGGAGACTGTGATGAAGATACAGGATAATGTTACGAAGAGTGAGGATAGTGGGGTATAATCATTAATGTGGATTTTATTGAAGAGGATTTGTAAAGTTTTAGAATGACTGTGGATCAAAATCCAAAGTCAAACAATGTGTAATGTAGAAGTGTTAATCTTTGTAGCTCTCTAAGTACCTAGCATAATATGTTGACTAAGATAGATCCTTAATCAATGTTTGATGCATGCGTGAGTGAATGAATGGATGGATGAATAAATGATTGAATGATGAAATGAGTGCAGGCATACCTCAGAGATATTGTGGATTTGGTTCTAGACCACTGCAATAAAGAATGTTTTGGTTTTTCAGTAATATAAAAGGTATCTTTACACTATACTGTAGTCTATTAAGTATAATAAGTGCAATAGAATTATGTCCAGAAAAACAAGGTACATGTCTTAATTAAAAAGTACTTTATTGCTAAAAAATGCTAACCATTATCTGAGACTTCAGTGAGTTGTAATCTTTTCGCTGGTGGATGATCTTGCCTTGATGTTGATGGCCGCTGAATGATCAAGGTGGCTGCCTAGCTTTCAGTCTATCTCTGCTTTCGACATGCCTTCCTCACTAAGCTTAATCATTTCTAGTTTTTCATATAAAGTGAGGGATGTGAGACTCTTCCTTTCACTTGAACACTTAGAGGCCATTATAGTTTTATTAATTGGCCAAATTTCAATACTGTTGTTTCTCAGGGAATAGAGAGGCCCAGAAGAGAAAGAGAGATAGGGGAAGGACTGGTTGGTGGAACAGTCAGAACACACACAATATTTTTCAATTAAATTTGCCATCTGATATGGGCATGGAAACAATTACAATAGTAACATCAAAGATCACTGATCACAGATCACTGTAACAGATATAATAATAATGAAAAAATTTGAAATATTCTGAGAATTACCAAAATGTAACATAAAGACACGATGTGAGCACATGCTGTTGGAAAAATGGCACCAATAGACTTGCTCAATATAAGGTTGCCACCAACCTTCAATTTGTAAAAAATGCATTATCTGTGAAGTGCAGTAACACAAGACACAGTAAAACAAGGCATGCCTGTATGTTGAGCAGGGGGACAGTAAGGAAAAGAAAATTCATTTTCTTCCACTTAGGTGACAGATGGCAGCAATTGGTTATGTTCAAGTGATGAATAAAGAGTTAGGCTTCTTCCCTTACTAACTAATAGATGTGGGTGGCAGCACAAAGTTTCCACAGTATAGTAATTGCTCTTTCCTATTTGAAGTTCCTTGGTTGTGTACCATCACTGGTAGCTGAGATCTTCATGTTTAAGTACAACTCCTCAAAGTATTGGGTCTATTTTTTTTATTCTGATGGATTTTTTTACTTTAAACCAAACTTAGACACAACCCTTGCAGTACCTAAATAACAAAAAGCAAATTTAAAAACAACCTCACTTACAAATTTTATTCCAGTCATATTATACAAATAGCTTACTCAGTGAGAAGGATATGATTGCTTTCAATAAGTGTTTTATAATGGGCCCCAATATTGGATGAGTTAGCTCATGAGATGCTTCACAGCAATTTTCATTTTCATAGTTACTGTAATAAGCCAGCGCTTGGGAGGATTGTTTTGGTTAATCACCTTTCCGCTTAAAAAAAAATTTAAGAGCTTTGTTTTGTTTTTAAATTCGCTGAGCTTTGTTTATAAATGCTTTTGTAATTTTCTTAGAATTACAGAAGAACTTTAAAAAATTTTGTTAACATAATATGCACTCTCTATCACGGGAAATGAAGCCAAATTAAAGATAGCTGTCTTTTTTCCTTGCCTTTTTTCCTGTATTTGGGTTTGATACTTTGGCTTCCTTGTTACCTACAGTCTTGTTAGTTTTACCAAATTTTCCATAACTGGTTTTGGTGGCCAAAACAAAAGCAGGGTGTGTATATGTGTGTAAAAGACCGCTTGGTTATTTTATTATTATTCTGTTCACGAACACTGCTAACTTTTATCATTAGGTGTGTTCTGTGATTGCTTCTAGGCCAATAAAAAGTCTTTTTCATTTAAATGCTAGATTTTGACTGGTTTCCCATGGTCCTCAGTTACTGCCCAGGACATGCAGCCAAGTGGGCAGATAGGGTTAGCTGTGGGTGTTTCTCTTTGCCATGACAGCTTCCTTTCTTCGCAACACCACAGGGTTCTGTATAAACTTTCAGAAACAATAATAAAGTGTAATCTCCCCACCCCACCCCCATTTTACAAATGAGGAAACTGAAACCCAGGGAGATGAAGTAACTGGTAAAGTGTCACACTGTTTCCTAGCACCGTGACAGCTCCTGATTCCTTGTTCTTTTCATTAGATCTCACTAGTCCTTTTGCATGGTGAATTCTATACTGGATTTATGTTTCCTCCAATGAGTTGATACTACTTAAAATAATTAGTATTTAGCTAACACATTCCATGGTGCTGTTAAACACTCTTCATTATAACTAAGGCCAGGAGTCACCATTCCTGAATTGACAAAAAATGTCCCAGCAGCTCACCTTCTGTATGTACAAATAATTCAACTATCAATCTGAGGACTTGCCATATTCTGTGTCCCAGGCTGGGTGGCACAGATAGAAAAACAAAATGAAAACCAGTTTCTGCCCTCAAGGAGCTTATATTATACTATTGGAGGAAAACAGTGCATATATACACATGCACATACACAAAGAGTAAATACAAATCAGCTGGGGAAGGAGGGAGTAGATAGCATTAACACTTGGGAAGATCAGGAAAGACTTTCTGTGTGTTTTTTTTTAATTTATGGAATAAAACAAACATTTCTATAACAGGATAATAAAAAAGATGATTACATATAAACTGTTAATCTTATCATGACTATTTGCTGTGCCTTTTAAATATATAATAAAGTTATCATGTAAATTTCTTTTTTTTTCCTTTTTTTTCTTCCCCTGCCCTAGAGATGGCTACTATTGGACACACACACACATCTATTTATCAGTTCTTTCTCTGGATGCAGATAGCATCTTCGTATGTCCTTTGTAGTCCATTTGGGTATTTATAATAGTCAAAGTGACTTTTTTTGCACAAAATTGTTCCTAAACAATATTGTTATTGGTACCTGAGCTGTGTTTTTTAAAGAAGCTAGTGATTCTGAGATTTGTAGGTGAGAAGGAGGTACAGTCCAGGCACAGAGGACTACCTATGCAAAAGTGGGAGTTGGAATGTTGTGTATAGGGAATAGTAAGTAGATGAGTTTGATTGGAATATAGGGTGCTTAGAAGGGAATAATGTGAGACCATTAAATAATATTTGTACTATTTTACTCTAGTAACAGCATCATAATGATATTAGTTAATAAACTGGAGATCAGAAAGTTGTCCCTATTGATGATTAATTTAGTTGCAGATAACTTTCATCTTGTGAAGGTTTTGCTGCAGTGTGCACTGAATAAAATCAGGAAGTACTGAATTTTTGAGTACATTTTCTCATTTTCTATAATACAGTGATGTTATCATTTAGTGAAGGGAAAACAGAGTTTAGGTAATTTTTTAAGATTGCATGCCTAAATAATGGCAGAGCAAGGTCTGGAGCTCTAATCTCCCCTCTGTTAGGCCATTGAGGCTTGCTCTCTGAGCATTTAGGACCAGCTGTGTTAAACAAATACAACCAAACCCTTACAAAGTCTCCCTCTTGATTCTGGGAAAGGATCCTGCTAAATTATCCAAGAAATTTCTTCCAGTAAGGCTTAAATTGGCTTGAGAAATGTTGTCCAGAGTCTCGCATTGCAAATGCCCATCTCAATCATTTATATATCTCCCTTCCCTGACTCCCAAGTTAAAATGGAGCCAGCTTTTGGTCCCCATTGCCTAGGGGCCCATCTTCCTAATAGATTTTTAGCTAAGACATCTAATTAACTAATCTTTCCTTGTGTGTTAATGAGTTTTTACAGTATGCCCTTTATTGGCCATCATATTTTCATTTTTAACAGGGGCCTCTTGAAGACAGTTCCTTAAATGAGCTAGAAGAGGGGATGAGTAAGGGAGACAGCATCATGTAGTGGAATGAATTCTGAATTGGGAGTCAGAAGATCTGAGTTCAAATCATAGCTTTTCTAGGCCTCAGCTCATCATCTGCAAAATGAGGGAGTTAGAATTTGGAAAGACTTAAGTTTGATCAGTGCAATAACCAATTACAATTTCAGAGGACAGATCATCAATAAACTCAAGATGCAGACTGAGACATACATGTTTGGACACAGGTGGTACAGGAAATTGTATTGCTTGATTATGCATATTTATTACTTGGGTTTTATTTTTCTTCTTTTTTCCACCCATTTGAGAGTCAGGTGGAATAGAGAGAATTAGAAATGCTTGCAAAATAAGTAAGATACAAAATTTATTTTGGCCATAGTGGGAAGTGACCATTTGCTGAAACTGAACATTGTTTCTTAGAATTTAAGCAAGAATTACATGAAACAAATTGAATTAAGTTCTTCTGAATCAAACTCCAGTTTGAAGCGTTATAGCCCGAGGATAAATTATTTTAAAATGATAGAAACACTTATCTGATCCCCTGGGATTTCAGGAGGGCAGCTAGGTGGCACAGTTTGGATAGAGTGCTGGCCCTGGAGTCAGGAGAACCTGAGTTCAAATCCAGCCTCTGATACTTATTGCCGTGTAACCCTAGGCAAATCACTTGGAAAACTAGGCAAACCCTGTTTACCTGAGTTTTCTTATCTTAAAATGAGCTGGAGAAGGAAATGGCAAACCACTCTAGTACCTTTGCTAAGAAAGTCTCAAATGGAGTCAGAGAGAGTCAGACACCAATCGACAAAATAACAGCAAGGAATTTCAGGATTGATACCTGGTATGATAATTTAGAGATATACAGAACACATTTTCCCAAGCTTTGTGAAGGAGTATTATTATTATTTTTTACCATAACTTTGCTTTTTCCCTTTAGATAAAATACCCAGGAGCAGATACTGATGCAACTTTGTCTGCCCCACCATTTTGTCGTCAGATTAGTCCAGAAGAATTTGAATACCAAAGAGTATGTGGCTCCCAAGAACCCCTGGCAGCATTGTTGGAGGAAATCATCATGGATACCAAACTGTCAGTCAAAGATAAAAAGAAAAAACTGAAACAGGTAAAGAAAAAGGGAGGAACAAAGGACATTTCTAATCCTTTTTTTAAAAACTGATTTTCTTTGTTTTCTTTTCATGATTTTGCTTTATTCTCTGTCTCCTTTGAATTTGATATTCTGAGTCATACTGGTTTTGTTATATGTATTTATTCAGCCCACATACTACAGCTATCATGTTGGTTTGCATAGTTGGAATCAGTTTCCAGGAATTCCCCTGCCTAATGTGGATTTATTTTCTAATACACTCCTCATTCAGAGCTTTATTTTTCTAAGGTTGTGCACTTTGCTCAGGTAGGTGGTAAGAGAAGGGTGAGAAGAGTTTTTGATCAGAGTTCTAAAGGGGGCATCAAATGGAAACAGATGAATCATTTTTTCCTTCCCCTGAATAACAAAATATTTAAGAAAGGGCAAAGTGAAAAGACAAGAAAAACAAATAAACAAAAAAATTCAGTAGTATAGTCCCAGGCTTCATACACATATGCACACAATCCCTTAAGGAAGGGAACAAATCTCTAAAAAACTAAAGCATTTAGGCATGTTCAGAGTAGCAGGTGTGTTGGTATACCCTGGGGTATGGACCTCTATTGACTCTTCCTCTTCCCTTTAGCAGGAGTTCTTAACCTGGGGTCTGTGAACTTGTTTGTTTGTTTTTTAAGGTATTTTTATTTATTTTGTTAAATATTTACCAATTACTTGTAAATTTTTTTGACATTAATTTTTTAAAATTCTGAGTTCTAAATTCATTCCCTCGCACCTGCCCCTCCTCCATCACTTGAGAAGGCAAGCAATATGATATTGATGATACATGTGAAGTCATGCAAAACATATTTCCATATTAGCCATGTTGTAAAAGAAACACACACACACACACACACACAAAGAAAAATAAAAAAAGTTAAAGTATGCTTTCATCTATACTCAGAATTCATCAGTTCTCTCTCTTTATAGGTGGGTAGCATTTTCCATCATGGGTTCTTTGGAATTGTCTTGATCAGAGTAGCTAAGTCTTTCACAGTTGATCATTGTTATAATATCGCTGTTACTGTGTACAATATTCTCATGGTTCTGCTTACATCACTCTACATCTGTTCATATAAGTCTTCCTAGATTTTTATGAAACCATCCTGCTCACTATTCTTATAGCGCAATAGTATTCCATAACAATCCTATACAATAGTGATTCCTCAATTGATGGGTATCCCTTCAATTACTAATCTTTGCCAACCTGAACTTATTTTAAAAAATATTTTAATAACTATACTTCAATAATTAGATTACTTTGTAATCCTATGTATTTTATGTTATGTATCTATAAATATTATCCTGAGAAGGGAGCCCTAGGTTTCACCAGACTACAAATTGGGTCCATAACACAAAAACTCACCTCCCTCAAGGGAAGGGCGAATCACAACGCTCATCCCAGAATGTGTTGGCCTATTGGGCCCATACGTTGTGCACACCTGCGTTCATTCTCCAAGGACAGGAAAACATCTGCATCAGCCGCCTTTGGAAACCTCTCTTCTGAGTTCTAACGTGCCCAGTTACGCTCCCCGTCACACAGCTCCTTGGTGAGATCTCAGATGACCCCTGCCATCGTTGTCTTCCTTCCACTGAGGCTCTGCCCTCTTTCCTGCTCCTCCCACGCTTCTTCTAACTTCTCCTCCACCACACTGCTGCTGTCATAGTCACTGGTACTGCCATTGCTGCTGCTGCTGTTGCTTCTGAGAAGAGTCATCATTCACTGGAATGAAGAGGACTCTGATGTACCTTCAGGCCAATCTACATGTAAATGGATCCTTTCAAAATTTTTTAAATGAATCACCTCAAATTCAATCTTTGTTGAGATTTAGAAGCCATCTTGTGTTTGTTCAGGTGCAAAAAGCCAATTTCCTGTTTTGCCGCAGGTATTACCTCATGTCATCTTTGATATCCTCATACAATGTTAGAAGGACCTTGGAGAGATCAACTGCTCTGAATCCTCATTTTGTATGTAGAATGAAACTGAGCTTTAGAGAGAAAAGTCACTTACCTGAGGCCACACAGCTAGTCAGTGGCAGATGTTTAATTGTTTTTCTGTTAAACATACTAGAGACAATTGGGTGAAGTAGACCGAGCTCTGGATGTGGAGTTAGAAGAAAATGGTTTGAATCCTGGCTCTGATGTCCGCGATTCCTGTAGCAGGGGCAGCTAGGTGGCTCAATGGATAGAGCACCAGCCCTGGAGTCAGGAATATTCATCTTCACGAGTTCAAGTCTGACCTCAGACGCTTACTAGCTGTGGGACCCTGGGCAAGTCACTTAGCCCTGTTTGCCTCAGTTTCTTCATCTGTAAAATGAGCTAGAGAAGGAAATGGCAAACCACTCCAGTATCTTTGCCAAGAGAACCCCAAATAGAGTCACAGACGTGACTGAAAAGACTCAACAACAATAACAACAACAGTCTTGTTCCTTTTGGCAAGTCACTTATTGTCTGTGCCTAATCATCTTCCTTCGCAACTGAGGATTATCATATTTTTACCATCTAGCTCAGGAGACTGTGGCAAAGAAACTGCTTTGTAAATTTGAAAGCACTATAACCATGTGAAATGGATTACTGTAATGACAATAGAGCTTTTCAACTTAAAATAAATTTATTTTGAACAATTTTCTTGTGCTGGCTCAAACTGTTGTTTAAGGGTTGAGTAGGTGTTTTTAGGCTGGTTTTGTTTTTTTTTTTTTTAAAGCGGAACCAAACTTAAAATAGTGATTGGAGACATTAAGAAGTTCTGAAACATGCATAGTTTTACAGGTTACAGCAGTAGCATTCAGTTCTTCAAGCTTTATTCTACAGTCATATAGTGTGAAGGATCAAGGAGAAAAAGCGTTGAAAAGGTTTAAGCATTTCTTAAGAACTGTGTAGCAGAGTGAACTTCTGTTCTGGGCTCAGGTTGCTGTGTTTGGGAGTTGCTGGAAAGGAGCTTTGAAACAGGGAAGTACAGAAACTCTAATTTGGGACCGCTTATTTTCAGTACCACATAACTTTGTAGCAATTAAGCAAGTCATTTCCAAACCAAAGTAGTAAAATGTCTTTGGAGATTGGAAAACCAAAGGAGGAGGTTTTTCTGACATTTGGGTCTATTTTTTGGAAACTCCAGCAGCTCTAGAGTTAGGAAAATGAATAGAAATGGAATTTTATTTTAAAAATACACCTGGACAGAATTAAAATTGAATATGTGCTTGTGAAAGGGGAATCCAAAAGATGTTTAAAAAATAGATTTATGACAGAAATGGGATTGGGTGTGAACTGTTTTCAGTCTTTTCCATATTTTTATCCTGTTCTTTTGACAAAGCCATAAATCACTTTTTAAAATAGTACTTGCAAAGTATGGATGACAATAGTAAAGCACTCAATGTAAATTCTACTGATCTAATTTTCATTGGATCTTACTATCTGATTTTTTTTAAGTTTCAGAAATCCTATCCTGAAGTCTACCAGGAGCGATTTCCCACACCAGAGAGTGAAGCACTGGTGTTTCCAGAAAAATCAAAACTGAAACCACAACTGCTGATGTGGGCACTGAAAAAGCCTTTTCAGCCTTTTCAAAGAACTAGAAGTTTTCGGATGTAACTCGTTCTGAAATCATTAGTGATCTCTTTTTTAAGTGTGTGGATTTGGAAGAGAGGGAAACACATGCATTTTGACTACTGAAATAATTAAAAAACAGGTTATCTGATTTAAAAAAATAATGTTGAGCCATTATCAGTATTTTTATAAGCCTTGATTTCTATTTTTTATGTACAACTATTTTCAAAATTATAGGCCAAGTGTTGTGTAGGAGGATGAAAATGGAAATTTTAAGAATGAGGTGTTTTAGTTCTCTTTAGTCACTTCTTTTAAATGTTATTTTCTTCAGTGAATTGTGTATAAGTGTGAGTGTGTATGTGTGTTTTGTGTGTGGGTGTGTAAAAGTTATTAGCTCTTGAGATACTTATAAACAAACTTGAAAAAGTGATTGTATGTACTTGAATGAGAACAAAACCCTAGGTACTGTTACTATGCTGTTACTGCCTCTACAACTAGGTATGATTTCTACTGTGTAAATTCTGTGACTTTTCTTAACTGTACAAAGGTTCTTTAGGCCCTGTGCTGGTCCTTAGTTCCTTTACTCTTGATGTATTGGAAATCAAGATGGATTTCAATAAACTAGCTCCCCCCATGACATATCATTCAGTATTTGTAAGTCTGCCTAGAATGGCCGAATTTGGAATCTGGCCAAAGATGGAAGGCAAGACAAGATAAACTGCACCAGGTGCTCTCAGCCCTGTAATTCCTCATCAAAATCTTTACTGTTTTTCTATGAAAAACACAAATGGGAGAAGGGCAATGAAACTGAGTCCTTTCACAAGTGCATTTTTCCAAGCCAACACAAATTTTTTTGAAAGGGTATGGATGTATATATGTCTAAGTGAATAAGTAAATAAAATGCATTTTTTCCTGTGGAGTTGTTATGCCTTCTTTTATATATACATGCACTTCTGTTACAGCTTGTTACCAGAGGTCTCACTGTCCAAAGTGTTAATCACCATTGTCTATATCGCTGCATATACTTGTTTGTTTATGTAATGAAGAAGTTGGAGCTGGATTCCAGTATAACAGCTAGTGTAATGGCTAATATTTACATAGCTTACTATATGCTAAGCATTGTGAGAAGTGCTTTATAAGCACTTCATTTGATCTTCATAACAACCCTGGGAGTTAGGTGCTCTTATCTCCATGTTACACATGAGGATTATGAGGTAAACATGGTCAAGTGACTTGCCCAGGATCATACCCCACCTTTTAGGAGAACCCCTGCTTTAGGGGAGTCTGTTCCCCTTTCCTGTGAAGTAGCCCTAGCTTTAGAATTGGAATAACCTTTGCTGTTGAAATTGTTTTATTTCTCTCTTTGTAACTCTTTTACTGCTACTTCCAATAATTCTCATTTGTCTCTGATGTAAATTCACAAATTTAGCTGAATAATGAGTCACTGCTTCTGAAAACGACCAATCATCACATGAAAAGAAAAGGTGAATTATCACCAATTCATTACTTTTAACCTGTAGAGTAAGATAAAAGTGGCTTCCCCTCCCCCTCATGTCAAAACCCACTATTTTCCCCAAACTAATGAGATTCTAATGGAGTATATGGCCTGCTTCAAGATTTCTGGAGATATAATGCACATTTTCAGCTATATTATCAGTCTTAAAAACGTGTCTCCCTTTATTTTACTTTACTACTTCTTAGTGACAAATCTTTAGAACCTGAAATCACCTCATGAAAAGTTTTAGAAGGATCTATAAAGTCTTCTGAATTGTAGGTTTATTATATTAGTAAGACCTCAGACATCCTGTTGTTTCATTGTGACACAAGGAAACAGCTCTGCCATCTTGACTAATACAGCATAGAAATAAATATGTGTTGCCAGATCCCCTCAGTGGTCATGAGTTCTTTCTGGAAACAGAGCAAAAGGCCTTTTTATTCCCGTGTTATTCTTGCCAGAACAGATCAGAAGAAAGATACTTAAATTGTTCAAACCTCAATTAAATATTTGCTCATTTCTCATGAAAATGAAATAACCTTTAGCTTTTGCTCTTTCAAAACAAAGTTTTATTTGTTCAAGGAGACACACAGAGCTGTCTTGTTCTCTAGTCATGAAGGGTTCTTATCACTGTCAGTAGAGAAGGCTGCCAGCCATGGCTTTGCTTAAATTTTGGTGTCTAAGATCTTCTCCAGTTTTTTCTTTATCCTCCCAAGGAAGCTCTGGATTTGTGAGCTTTCTCAGTTTGTGACAAGAATTCCCCTGAAGACAAGTGTGGAGAAAGAGGTAGACTTGGCCAAGTCCATAAATTATCCTTATTTTGAAATGGGCACAGCTGGTAACATTTCAAAGAGAGATCATAATTGATTCTCAAGATCCTCCACTGAAATAAACAGTTCCCTTAGTCATCCTCCAAGGCCTGGTCTGAGAGGGCTTTTTAATGTCCTTCTTTAGCTGAATAAAGCATTAAGTGAATCTCTGAAACTCCCTACTCTACTGTATAACCCCATTCAGCCACAAAAAAGCATTATTTTCATCTGACTAGAGCATCACTGTTCAATTAAAGATCTTGATGATATCATGATGGAAAATGATTTTTACGTATAAAAAAGAGCTTGAGCTTAATACTTAATTAGAAAGTGAAACTTCAGAAGATTCCATTGCTATGCATAGAGCATATAGACCAGTTATACTTTCTTGCATAATAAAGTAATTGAATAATTTCACCTTTCTTGAAAAATCAAATTATTTCAGCTATATTTCCAAATTTGGGGTGAATTAACAGATACCTAAAAATTTTTATCTCTTCATTTCCTATTCATTTACACACACATACAGCCCAAGATTCATTCTTATGAAATGCCAGTCACCAATTACTTGCAAGCTCTGATGCTTTGTTTTAAAATGTCTGGGAACCCTGTTCTAAATACTGTAACCAAAAATGGGCACCTGGCAGATCTAAATGCTAAGTTGTGACCCATTTATATGTTGTATTTGAGCCACATTTGTTCAGCCCTGAGATATGCCTTCCCCAAAGGCAGATGCAAGCACATGCAAATGTGTGAAAACTCAGAATGGTGAATAGCTGAATTCCACCACCTTGCTCACACATTGAGATCTGCCAGGACTTCTCTTGTGGCCACATGCTTCCTTGATGCAGTGGGGTGATGGTGAAGCAAAGCACTGATCTTTATGCCTGATGCTATTCAACTTGGCGAACCCCAGATGATAGCAGGCATTATGTGAACTGGTATCTTTGCCAGAGATGCTGGCAAACACAAGTTGGGAACATTTGGTTGTAGAGATTTGCTAGAACATTCCCTCAGTTAATATTCTCCATATAGAATGTTTTCTGAATTCCTGGTCTGAATCCCACATCAGTGTTCCATCCCCATGGCAACATCTCCAGCCTATCAGGCTTTTAAAAACAAGTCCTCTGGGGAAGAGGAGGGCTATGGAGGTGAAATGGAAGCACTAAAAAGGCACATGCCTATGTGCCCAGCCCTTGGTGAGACACACTTGAAGAAATGGAATAGATTCCACTTTTTGTGTCTTTGCCTTTTGCATCTGAACTTTATTGGGGGTGCGGGGAGGTCTGTGTTTGTGAGAGAATTTGGATTGTAGGGCCTAGGACAGAATCTCTTAGGGACTAATAGAGCAAAGTGAGAAACTTGGAAGAGGGAGGGATTGAAAATGGTAAATGTGGGTCGAGTGAGTGGAAATTTTGCAGGCCAAATTGGGGAACCTAATGGTTACTGAAAACTCTTTGCCAGGCTCACAAAAAAGATACAGGCAGTATGATGTAAAGGAGATTGCAGGATTTAGAGTGAGGATTCAAAATTCTGACCTCGATGATAATTATATCCTGTGTTATCTTGGGCAAGTCACTTCTCTGTTCCTCAGTTTCTTAATCAATAAAAAGAGGGGAAAGGAGAAGTAGACTCCTTTCAAGCTCTAGAACTATGATTCTACAAAAATGTTCCAGCTCAGTTAGATGCTAACTCACCTAATCTCCCTCCAAGACACATATAAAAATAAAACGTGGAATTAATTTTTTTTTTTATTTAGCACAATGTGTGCTTCGTTGGCTTATTCTCATTTGTAAGGTTGTTTTACAGATTCCACTCTTTAAATAACATTCTGATACTTAAGGGAAAATGATAAAATATCTCTGGCAGTTTTCAACTTTTAAGCTCTGTATTCTATGTTGAAAAGTAATAAATCCATTTCCTTGGGGATGAACCCTGACTGAAGGTAAAACTTCAAATTTGATAGTGAAGCCGAGGTAATATGTAATTTACTTCTGAAGATGGGTTAAAGGATTGGGGGATGTTTAGATTGAAGACGAAAAATCTTAGGGAGAGCATTGTAACTGCCATCCTATATCTGAATGCTTGTTGTGTGAGTTAAATTTATCTTGTATGGTTATGGAAGGTAGTTCCAAGACCAACTGGTGGAAATTTAAAGGAGGTAGATTTCAGTCCAATTAGAAGGACAAACTTCCAATAATTAGAGCTGCCTAAAATATATAGGGGCAGTGAGGTGGTGCAGTAGGTAGAGTATTGGGCCTGGAGTCAGGAAGAACTTCCCGAGTTAAAATCTGACTTCAGACACTTACAAGCTGTGTGACCCTGGTCAAGTCACTGTTTGTCTCCGTTTCCTCATCTATAAAATGAGCTGGAGAAGCACCAATAGCAAACCACTCCAGTATCTTTGCCAAGAAAACCCCAACTGGAATCATGAAGAGTCAGACATGATTGAAACGACTAAACAATAACAACAACAAAATATAATGGAATGCTTGGAGTATTAAGCCTTCCAGGAGAGTGTGGATGACCATTTATTGTTGATGTTGTTGGTTTTCTATGCATTTAGGTAATGGCTATATTATCTGATCTCTGAAGGCTATTCAAACTGCAATTCTACAGGATTGCAGACACAGCATGGCACGAGAGATAGTATGGTGTGCTGTATAGAATGTTGGATTTTGAATCAGGAAAACCTGAATTCAAAACTCATCACATACACTAACTATATTGTCTGTGTGATCTTGGGCAAGTCAACCCTCCTGAGCCTTAGTTTTCTCATCTGCAGAATGGGGATAACATCCTCTTACAGGATTGTGAGGAGCAAATGAGATGAGTGCTTTGTAAATCTTTAAGTGCTATATAAAGGTAAATTGTTGTCATTATAGAATTTAGAGATGGGAAGGACCTCAAGGATCATCTAGTCCTAGCCCTTCAACTTATAGATGATGAAAGTGAGGGCCAAAGAGGAAAAATAATTCACCCAAGGTCACAGAGCTAGTAGGTATGAGAACACAAATTTGAACCCTAGGTTCTCTGACTCCAAATCAAGTGATGTTCCTATTCCTCTGTCTTTCATTATTTCCTCTCAGAATGATGGTGACAATTACATGTTTATCTCCCCCTTCCCCTCCCCCACCTCTTCTTGCACATTTCTAGTAGGAAGAAACTGGGATTTAGTTTTAGGGTGACTGACTTCTTAGGATTTGAGAACATTTCAACAATGTCAGAAATGGAACCTCAAAGAAAAATGGGAGATCATATTGAAGGGTCTAGTACAGGAGGTGGGGAACCTGTTGCCTTGAGGCCACATGTGGCCTTCTAGGTCCTTGGGTTTAGCCTTTGACTGAGTCCAAGTTTTACAGGCCAATCCTTTAATGGAGGTGATTTGTTCTGTGAAGTTTGGAATCAGTCAAAGGGCTGCACTTGAGGACCTAGAGGGCCACATGTGACCTTGAGGCTGCAGGTTCCCCCCCCTTAGTCTAGTATATGATTTTGAATTTACAGACCACCTTTTGTAGGACACAACCTGACACGTATTACTTTTGCCAATGCAAAATCATCTGGTGATGATAGTTATCTTAGAGGCAACTAGGT